ATTTAAGCATAACGCTGCTATATCTATATGAAACCTTCTTGCGGTTGAAATTTGTTTAGGGAGCCTTCACCCGCATAAAACGTCTGTTACTCTGGTATACATATTTTTTGTATCTTGATATAATTGATATAATTGATGTACGCTGATATTATGGATTATAAATTTCACCGCGAGGTTTTCAATCGGGGGTTAGAAAGTGAAGAATATGATGAGAAACATGTAACCGAGAAGGCAAAGAACACGTAAGGAGAGAACAAAAATACAAACACAAAGTTTGAAAAGAACAAAGAGAACAAAAAGGAGAGAAAAAAGGGCGAACAAGAATGCACCAAGAATGTAGACGGTGATGGTGGTGAGGGTAATAAAGAGGAGAGATGTCACATAAAGAAAAAGAGTGGACGAATTATAATGGTGAAAAGTAATGTGAAAAGCAGGATACAAAGGAATCATAGACAGACAGAGAGAGAAGAAATGCGAAATGGAACAGATACAGAGGATTCTGAAGCTGCAACGCAACGTACGGACAAAAGAAAGGAGATAGGGGACACGAAACGGTATAAAGCACGATGGAAACTGGATGGGTGGAGGACACGGAACAGACGAAAATAACTTGACAAACAGGGGTAGTAAAAACGAGAGTAACAAAAGAATAACGTCTGAAAAAAGGATGGAACGATCCGACGAAATGGGAAGACGGGTAGGCTGGTGGAACGTGAAATAGGGGCGAATACGAAAGAATCAAGACTCGTGATAGGAAAAGAAGAAATGCTATGGCTAAGAAGAAGGAAAGGAAAGGTATTACTACTAGAAAGCAAACGCCTATGGTGAAAATGTGATAAAAAATGAAGGAAGAAAGCGGGGAAGAAACGGCTTCTCCAAGAAAAGTTGAAGGACGATAGAATAGAACGATAATTGGGAGAGAGGCGTGTCAAATTTTCTAGGCTTTCGAAGCGTGAAACGTCACATGGACAGGCCATAGCTCGTCGGGCTTAATCGTCCTCTGTCGATTTAACTTGGGTTTTCCGGCTCCTCTAGTCTCCCTTTATACTCTGCAACGAGATAGCTGCTTTTACCGTGGAACGATAACGTCACGTTGACGGGCAAGTTGCGAATGAGGTAGGAGATCGTTAATGTGTGTAAATAATATACGGAGAAGGAACACGTGTGTATTCTTGTTAAACATTTAGAAAATCGATTAGACGATGTCCGATAGGCCGACAGCATGTAACAGACTTTGTTAACCATCGCGTCGCCTGTATTTTCTTACTGGTAATGCGGATTTATATCGAAAGGAAGAAACAATATTCTAAATACTTTGATATTTCCTAAAGAACAGACTGCGCGGCAGTTTCCCAACTAGCCATTTTTTGATTACGTGAATCGGATGCAAACCAGAAGAATCTACCCATCTACGTAATACGTATTTACATATTTACAAAACTCGGAAATCCAAATAAAAGAGCTGCAACACACCTTGGGTAATCTTCAAATCTTACTTCTGACTAGCGAACAATATCGAGTTCTCTCTTTATTTTCCAATGCCGAAGAGCAGCTCGAACTTTTACTTCATTTACTTCATATTTCAGACTCTTATGATCGTCCTCTATCGCAAAACGGAACACGTAAATAAGAATAAATGCTACGTTTAGAAGGGTTCTTCGGTATTCTTAGAGCCGGCACGTCGCGGCATTATCCTCTCTCTCTCTCTCTCTCCCCCTCTCCCTCTTCCTCTCCCTCTCTCTCTCCCCCTCTCTGTCCCTCTCTCTCTCTCTCTTTCTCTCTTGCAAGCCGCAGTTTGCTTATCCAACGAAAGCGCCATGAAGGGCAGACTGGTTTGAAAAGATGGAGAGGGGTTGCATGTTTCCAAAGATTACTGTCTCGTGGAGATCAACGCGGAACTGATTCGCGGTGACGTTCGATCTCTTTCTTGGCATTTTACTCTCTGTACGAATGCGCGCACAATATAGCGATTGAAAAGTGCCTACCTCTGCGCAAGACAGAAACAAGAAATTTCGCAAAGAAACAAAAGGATCAAACGATATTCAGTCGATCACGACTTACGGCTATTATCTTAACACACGCGAGTATTCATGACGAATCTTGTCGGTAATGCAAGTTTAATAAGTGACTGCGTAAACATTCGTCGCGTCTCTGCCCTATAACCCGTTGTAACACGTTGTAACCCGTGTTTGATTGCAATTCGTAATCGATGGACTGTAAATTATGCGAATCGGCAAGATTCTGTCGGTCAAGCTTATCAGTAATGTCGGCCACGAGAAAAACGAAATCTATGTGGATCAAGTGGTGCCGCTGCCGTGATTTATTATACGTGTCAATCCGAGTAATTTGATCCAAGTAACCCCGTTTCCATGCGAAGTGTCACAACCCCTTCCATCTTCCAACATACTACCACCTATTCGAGGCTTCTCTTTCAGGTATTCAGACGATCGAATTCTCGCGATCCTTCTAGATCCTTCCCTTCCTCGTCCAATTCGTTTCAACTGAAATTTACATTGTTTCGATGGGGTGGGTTGGGGCGAGGCTTTTGTTTATTGGATTTTCGGTCGATCGATAGCTTTTCGAGGGAATCGTTCTGCGAGTTTTCTTTTACTCTCACTTTGGATTTCTTGCATTTTCAGGGTTTACGGATTTTAGAATTTCTTTTTCGTCCGATCTTTGGATTTTTCAATTTTTACAGCATTAAAGGCTTCATATCTTTTTCTTCGATATATGGGTCTTTCTCGATTTTCCGTTTCTTCTAATCTTTGTTGTTTTAAGAATTAAGGGGCTTTTCCTTACTCTATTTTCGGATGTTTTAAGTGTTATTAGCGGGAGAAATAATGTTTGAATATTCCTTTGTTCATTTTAATTCATACATCCGTACGTCGTCGATTTTCTTCAAAGAAAGCTAATCTATTGATAAATTTTTCTCTTGTTACGAAAATGCCGAAAATTCTGAAAGAAATGAAGTGAAAGAACGCATCGTACGTTAGAAGAAAGAAAGGTGTTTCGTAGCAATAAAAGTTTTCTTAATTTGTATCGAGAAACCGGAGCAGGATGTATCTCTCTTTTTACGTGAAACGTGTTATAAGGTTGCATGTACTCGTGAAGTGTACATACAAGTTTCATTACTTTGCCTATTAATGGAAACGACCCAATTCTACGAATACGTCGATATTATATAGAATCTCATGCAGAAAATGAAAGCGAAATTAGTGGGTGGATAATCAGATAAAGAAAAAGATGGTGGAAATTTTCAAGATGAGCTAATATTTTCCAAGAATGTTACAATTATTTGCAATTTTAAAATGTCGAAACCATTTATAACGATATATTCCTGCATATTTCTCGCTGTGAAGGTTTCCTTCTGCGTGCTCCTCCTGAACTTTCGACCGTTTGCGGAGAGACGCGATCTCGAAGAAGCGCGCCAACGGGAGTCATAAATTTCCGTTACGATTTAACTAATCGACGAATCGTTCGATTCCTTATTTCGGTTCAGATAATAAGGCTGGTTGAATGAATATAACGCTGGTATTAACGGGTTAATATATATTTTTAACGGTCCAACAACTTCAATGAGATACAAGGTTACGTAAGTGGAATGACAAACTACGAATCAGTACGACCTGAGACTCGCTTCGTGTTGGCTACTGTGATAATGTATCTTCTGTCGATTGACTGTCTTCGACTTGGAGATTCTGATGGCTTGACTTCTGACTCCTGCTGTTCCTTGAACTGTGTTTTAACTCGAGTTGATGTTAACTGACTTAGACTGTTACTGTGGACGGCTAGAGCACAAGTTGACTGTTCTGCAGTCGTGAGAACAAGTATAGAGATGAGGTGACTACTCTGTAGTTAGGAGAACAAGTGAAGTTCGTTCTGGTGTGATTACTTTTGCGATTACGGACACTTTCCGTTAGGAAAGTGAGGGTAACGATCTGCGATGCCCATTGGTTATGACCAATATTAGGAATGAAGATAGGAGGAAGAAGCCTCCTACCAACGTGACTCATGGGCGACATTGTTTATTGGAAAAACCTGCTTTTCCGTTAGACATATATCCGCTTTCTCCGTAATTTGTAAGAACACGCAATAAACCTAAGGATTGTTCTAAGGACCTGCCATAAACCAAAAATACTTGCATGATTAAAGGTTCCTGTTAGCTAATAAGATAATAAAGTTAATAAAGTCAGTTTATGATGGGGCCTTAGGTTTATTGAGGGTCTGTATAATGGTGCTTGGGCCTTGAAGGTCAGACGATGAAGGGCGTCGCACGGACCATCTCACGCGACGTAACATGTCCCGATATCTACCTTGGTCCCTTCCTTGTCATGGCGCATAACTTAGCAAGACATTATACTTCAGAGGATATTATACGTTTGAAAGAGATTGTCGACTAAAAAGCTCCGTTAAAAGGCACATCGAATCCGTCACTTTTCAGCTGAAATATCCGTTCCCTAGCTTCTTCAAACGATATACGTACATATATGTACATATTCTGCACGTTCGTGCGTTTTCAGCGAGAGATGAGTTCGTAAATTCTTTCCGATGTTTCTTCCATTCGTCTGCTGTTCGGCGACTCAATTGACGAAACGAGAAACGTGGTTCTTTGAGGTTGCATTGTTTAACGATGAAACAAAGCGATCCTTTGATCTTTGACGCTAGGCCGTTAGCCGAAAGACTGGCCACGGGTAAGAAGCGGCGGATAAGCGGCTATTCGACCGCCTTTTACGTAAAAATCTATTTTTCTTCGTTGTCTCGTTCCGTTTCTTTCTTTCTATGGAATAAAATTTGATAAGGTGGAGAAAAGAATTATATTATCGAGTCGCCGATAATTATAATTATGTATGAACATGATTAAGGATTAAGGAAATGGAATCTAAGTGTAAAAGCTTATGTGATATCTGGCGCTAGATATCATTACCCTATACACGTGTGTGTAACTGTATTTTTATTTCGATTATATTTCATAATGTTTTTTGTACTGCTTTCTGTTTCAGCTCGCATGGAGGAAGAAAGGGGTGCATCGAATGCTCAAATTCTTTGGTCAGCTTGCCAAGCCTTGGCTCGAGCTGTTAAATCAGCGCCAGCAGGTGCGCCCGTAGAGGATGTCATCAGGCCTCTGGAACCGGAAATCAAGGCCGTCACCAAGGCAGCACGTAAGCACTCTAATATATTTTCAAATAATCTACGTTCCTTCCTTTGATGTCAACAAAAGCTATCAAGTTTTATAATATAACATTGTTTTACTCCTGTCGCGATCGTGATCTGATACTAGTATACTTCGAATGGATTAAAATGAAATTTCTTTGAATTAGAATACTGAAACGTGACGCAATTTGTGGTTTCGTGGGATTAGAGAAAGGTTCGTAGCCGATGATGTTAGCAAACCGGTTACTCCGATCTGCAATGAACAAGAGAATAAAAATTCCACACAAAGATCATGCCTTTTTGCGGTAGAAATCAGGAAGAAAGATTACAACTAACGACAGAACTAATCTCAAAATTTTACAATATTATAGAATTAATTTTATAATTTTACACTTAGATAGAATTTGATAATCTACCTACCTAACAATCTGTTTGTTGATCTAACCATGCTTTTCTTTCGTAAAAATAGTAAAAGTCCCAACGATTTGTGATCTTCTACGTTCTATATGACTATGATATACTGTGATTCGTTCGTTTCTCTTGAGTAAGCAGAATTAGTACCGCCGTACATAAGCCCTGCTATGCTTAAGAGTTTTCGCCCCTTCAACATGAATATGTAAACGCGAAAAAGGAAACACGTGCTCTTGTGAATCGTGAGTGGAGAATTTTATAAAAAACAGAGTTGATCAGTCTGTCTCTCAATAGCTTCAAAGAACAATTACCACGTTGTTTTCTGTTTTTTTTTCACCGCAGTGCCGATATTACGGTACAAGTATCGCCACCGAACGAATAAATTTTCTGGCCATTTGTCACGCATTTTCCATGCGCCGAACAAAATTTCGCAAAATTTCGTAATATTGCAAAGTAATGTATGTCGGTACAAGCAACGGCATCTGGTGTAATGCGATTTGTTAAAGAGGAATCGGGTTAGGGGAGTGAGTGTGTCAACGTTGTCCGATGTTAATTAATTTTCCACTGGAAATTTCGGTTTGAAATATCGGTGAAATAAGAGTGGTAATTTCGCGCCCTTTTAACTGTTACACCCCCTTTTTCCCCCTGCGCGCTTTTAATTTCTGTTAATTACGCGAATAAACTGGCTTAATTTCTCTTCAAATCTCGATCATTTTCAAAAATCTTCTATTCCGAAGAGAAGCATAGAAGAACTATGGTTAGTTCTTCTGCGATGTGTTGACTGCTACCATAGATCTATTATACATGTTTCACCTGTAACCTGTAGTATTCAGTCTTTATAAAATATCATGTTACAACGAAAGAGGTTTACGTTTCCTAATGTTCTCTAGTTGTTCGCATTATTTGCAGTTTTTCGGTTGACGATATGTTTTTCGCTTTAATAATTCTAACATTTACACTCGCCTCATGTCATCACGCCTCTAACGACAACCTTATAGCTGCTTTCAGTTATAATTTCATTTTAAGTGCCCGAGTTACTTTTGCTTGATTCAAGTTTAGCTGTTTAACGTTATAGTGGTGAATTCCTGCAATGTCATTTACAAGTTGCCTTAATTGTTCTATTATCTGTTCGTGAATATAGGTAGGGGGTGATTTACCGATTTTAGTTGTTATTATGAGTTTTGATTCCGTAGTCATTTTCTCTGAGAGTGTGTTTTCCCTCTCTCAACGCCGTTAGCCGCCTTTCCTAAACACATCCGACTTCTCTCGCCAATACTAACGCAGTGTGTTAACTTGACACGACACGTCTATCCGAATCTTCATTGCTCAAAGAGTGGTTGAAAATATTAATTTCTAAAACATATCCAAAAATCATGCAAAAAATTTCAGATGAGGTAGCTTTTCCGCAGTTTTACCTATTGATCTGTGTATTAGTCTCATATATAATAACTTTTTTTTATTTATTTATTTAAATTTTACAATTTGTCCAGTAGGACATTTGGTAAAATATTATAGCAGTATAATATAATATAACATGTGGGTGGCTACCCCCAGCGGGGTCCATCATCGTGTTTGTTAGGTTATGTCCTTTGTGAGATCTGTTGGGTGTTTCCTTTTTAGTCTTCTTTCTGTACTTGATGTGTTGACCGTTTCCGCTGCCAGCCGGTCCGGGTGCGTTGCTATTCTTTCTCTGTACCTTCTTGCACATCTGCTAATCTCCTCCTTGACCGTTCGTATTCCTAGGTCTTTCCGAATGTCCTCGTTTCTAACGTACCATGGCGCATTTACTATTATTCTAAGTATTTTAGCTTGCATTGCCTCTATCTTGGTTATATGGCTCATTGCTGCTGTTCCCTATAGTGGTATTCCATACGTCCAGATTGGTTTTATGATCATTTTATATATTTTTAGTTTATTTTCTATACTTAGCTTGGATTTTCGACTTGTTAGCCAATATATAATAATGACACTCGATCTGTTCTTTCATAGAACGATAACGTAACAGCGAACGAACGAACAAACGAACGAAGACAAAAGATAATGGAAAGAACACGACATGTTAAATGTAGGAAATATTAAACAAATAATTTCTCGTATAGAATTCGAAATATTAATCGCATTGCTCAACGATTGATTGTTTTTTCAGTTTTCAGAAACAAATGTATTATTTGCGAGAAATTCGTTAATAGGTTTATTCATTCTGTTCTGTTCTGCCAGCCAAAGAGGATCCTTTGGTGCAAGCAGCGATTCAAGGCATTCCAGAGGAGGCTGCGAAGAGGGGAGTGTTCCCAGAAGATGTGCTTCGTGCAAGGTTCCTTAAGGTAATTTCACACTGACTTTTGTCATTATCGCGTCAAAATTTCAAGTCCCTACGAATATGTTAAAAATACAGCTAACTGTAGAAGCACCCAAAAATGTTTCCTACGCTTTATCCAACCCTTGTAAACTCTTTACCACTTGTTTGTCCTGAGTTGAAAACTGCATAATAACTTTGAAAAATACAAGACATTGCATAAACTCTGAGAACATATTTGGCCGTCGCGTTTTGCAATTTTGTAACATCTTTTGCAACATCGCTTGTTTTCCTGCTCGCTAGTTGTTACCGCTTACCGTTCTATTACCGTATCACGATCTTACGCGGATTTCTACAGTTAACACCTTTGTCGGTCAAATGTTCATAGGGCCAAATTTTCTAAACTGTTCATTTCTGTGAATACTGCCTCCGGTTATCGCCTTTAACGATCTACAATACCGTTGATAAAACTCATTCAGATAAAAAATTTTGCAGTTCGGATGCCACTATCCTTTTCTTTTTATTTCAATGGATTTTCAGTGATGGCTGGTCGATCCAACGATTACAAAGTTTATGATAAGGAGTTATTCGAGGGACAGGACAAATTTATGGTCTACCATTTTTACGTTTCAGGTGGAAGAGGTGGCCAGACGATTAGCCATGGTACCCGAGGAAGGTGCTGCACTGCCTGTCTATTTCCTTAGTTATCTTCAAAGCTACTTGATGATTAAGAACGCCAATCCCATTCCTCAAAGTGAGATCGAGGACAAGCCGATTGATGCGAGCAATCTTAACACATTCGAGATTCTTCATCGGGCCAGGTAGGTACCTTTTCCGACCTGAATTTTGTTTTACTGTCAGTCATCGATCTGGTAGTTATTTTCGAATGTTATCTATTGTTTTCTTCCAATATAATTTTTCCTGTTCTTAATTTTATATTTATATATATGTTTATATCGTTTGCTTTTTATTTATTTGCAATATATGTGTGTGTGTATGTATATGCATATATCGTATAATATAGAAATAAATATTTTAATTATTGGTAGATAAAATGTAAATGAAAATAGTCAACTTGGCAACAGAACTATTTTTGATACATTTAACTTATTTTTGAAAAATTATTCTTCATTTTCGCTGAATCGTTAAATATGTTGGAGAAATAGTGCAACTTGAAGAAATATTACACTAGCCGTTTCATCGCCAATTCCACGAAAACGTACCAAGAAATCATTTATTTGTATTAGATATATCGATATTATAATGTATATATTCAAAATTTTTCAATTTATCGATCAAAGAAAATTCAGTCGTAGTTTGTAGCGTGCTGACGAGTTCGCTTAAATATAACCGACATTTTATCTTCATTTATTCATATTCGGCGAATTTTGTTCAAAAGTTCACAATTACCTACGTTATATCTTTATATTCTTTTACTCACTGATGATATGTCTACTTTAGACAAGAATAATTTTGGGCTGAAAACTTTCGTTCAAACCTATATCATTCAAATCCTCTCAAAGATTCATTTTTTAATTATTTAAATTATTTTAGTTAGAAAAGAATTATGAAATAGAAAATTAGAAATAGGGCAGAGTACGTTTTAAGTGTATATTGGAAGCCCTATTAGAACCAATAGAAATACATAGTTTAATGTATGGTAGTAAAGTTAATCGTTGTAAAAGCGATGCAGTTTCTATCAATGGTTGTTAACGCGGAATCACAGTACAAGCATAATTACAGTGTCGAATATGATTGTGAAAATCGGGTCGCGTCTGATAATTAGCAGATGAAGAGAATTCCTGTGGAAGGAACGAGCGAGCAACTGTGACCAAACAGAAAAATTAATTTTCCGGCCCACGTTTATCAACATCGCGTTCAATCACGTTGTCGTTGTTTCTTCTTGGCGCGGCGACTGCGATGCGATTTGATGACGATGGGGCGATATTGTCGTCGACCCTTTGTTCACCAACACGTTCTAGACTTTGTTATACCGTTTGCCAGCCTCTCTGGCCACGGGTTGAAACGTGGCGATCGATGGTCGAACAACGAAGTCGTCTTTATATCGTACTTTCCACCGAATTATAAATTATAAAAGTGTTCTTGCTCTGAAAATTTGTTGTCGGTATATATGAAATTCTTGTTGAAATAAGTTATAAGAGATTTTTTATTTTAGGCAAGATTTTAGAATAGAATAATAATAAAGAAAACTGTAATATTATTATACTATATATATTGCATTTAAGAAAGAGGAGCGAATTTGAAAGATTTATCGAGCAACACTTTCTCAATCTGTTTAATGAATTTGATGAATTCGTTAAGGTCAGAAAAAGAATCAAGTATTTCTTATCTTTTAGTTGCGCGCATCTAAAATATATTTATAAATACATATTGAACAAGACAAATAATACTAGGAAATATTCTGAAATTGCACATCGTAAGTGGCCATTATTATCTTATTTGGACTGAACGAAAAACTAAATGTATAAATACATATATATTGGCGTTCCTCAACAGCTTAAAACCATTCTCTAAAACAGTAATTAATCATTTATAATGAATAATTTCTTCTCTTTAGACAGTTTATTCTAGTCGTATGAGAATTTCGTGATTAAATTTTTGGTCAAATTCGTTCACTTTCCGGAGCGAACGAACCCCAAATAATTCAAGATAATTAGAAAACGAGTAGTTTGACGAGAATTACATAGAATAATTCACGGAATTTTCGTGAATTATGTAGAGTATGTAAGAAAGAGAACCTTTTTGTAAAGCGAGGGAAACTCTTGTTTCTTGGTTTGCGATATCAGCATTAAGGCTTGGTTGTTCTCATGTCGCAATGTCATACCGCTGTGCAACATTAACGATACGAGCTCATGGTTGCTGTTCGCGGTTTACACAAGTCTTGCTGGTTTCTTCAAATGATTTTCAACTTGTTAGCATCGAAATTCGGTAAACGGCGCAACCCATAAACAAGCCATAATAAAACAGTCACGCGATTGCGAATAGCACCACACGGCAATTTCTCAATTTTATGTTACAAATTTGAGAAGCAAACGAGTTCTGATACGGTGGTGGTGCGCAATTAATAGCAACGACATTTATAAAGTTAAAGGATATATAGAGTTGTCCTCTTGTGTGTTTCTTTAAACGTTCTAAACGAGTTCTAAATAACTTCGTTCTATAAAATTGTCACAGACACTTCTAAAGTATGTTTCCGCTTTCCCGCAACTTCGAATCTTTCAAATAAATTGCTCTAAATAATTGGAGAATCACGTACACGATACAGGCTTCTTTAATAAATTCATTTCTTCTTTTAGCATTATCAGCCTAGTAATTGATAAAATTATACTAATTCTTGATAACAGTATCGGAAATTGAAGTTGAACGTCCGGCGAATGGCACTGGACGCTGCTCGAATTTTACTCCCGACACTTTTTCGCCTTTCTTGCGTCTTGCAACATTCTCGTCTCTTTCTGTACTCCTTTACTTGTTTACGCATGCGATAGAATATTTTTGTTTTTCCTGTTTTACGTTCCACTTGAATTCGTATTACACACGTCCGCAAATCACACTACAATCCTTTTCCATTTTCTGTACCCTCCTTTTTTCATACATGCAATCCAATCTCCCCGACTCTCATTGAAATTCTATCGGAAAGCCTATTAAGCCAAAACCAATCACAGGTTCTTCTTCCATTTTTATGTAACGATATCCATGACAAAACAGAGCTCGATCCTGGCGTGCGCCGATTAATCGATACGCGTAGTGAAGTTCTTGGAGAACGATCGACGACACAGCCGTTACATCAACCCCTAGCCTGGAAATGGAAATGGAAATGGAAATGGAAATGGAAATGGAAATGGAAATGGAAATGAGCGATTCGTCCTCGAGTTCGACTGCGTTCCAAGAGTGGATGACGCGTCACACATTATTAACCGTCAGAGTTCCTTTAACAGTTGCGAGTTTTTGGTGAGAGATGCTTGTTATCAATGGAACGATTTCAACTCGCCTACTTCAATTTTCAAATTTGTGGATAAAGGAAGTTGAAGTGTTTGAAGCGCGACGTAACAAACGAGATATTAAAAAAATGTCAAGTATACTCCGAGCATCTGTATCCACAGACACTTGATAATCCAGGGTTTATCTTGTGCGATCTACCTCGTTTGCGTCAAATCCCGATTCTTCGAAGCATTGTTTATATTGTTCTTTTGATAAAGTAGGCTATATTTGTTGGAAACGAAGCTATGTAACGTAATACAGATACTACAGGTGATACAGAGGTGTGCAAGAAGTTGATCTAAAGCTGCAATTTAACCATTGCCCAGGCAATTTGGTCGAATATTCGAAACTCGAAAAGAAATTTTTCGTGACGAGCGCAATTGCCGATTTTCGCCTAGTACGCTTTTATATCTATGACTCGTTCGTTGATTGGTCGACAGGTAATTCGGATGATAGTTTCCCGATCCTCTCGCCTACCATCTGCCAACGATATTCTCAGATATCAGACTCTGATTTCCGACTGATTTTCACAACTGTTTTTTATCTCCTTATCTCTTTATCTCCTTCGTCTTATTTCGATTCTATTCGTTCGATCCAGATGAATTTTATAAATTTCGATGATAAAAATGAAACGTACGTGGCAATGATTGAGATATTAAACGACGCAATGGTTATTGAAATGAAAAGTAAAGTTTACTAGTAGGTGTAGTAGCAGGTCTAGTTTTACTATAGAAAATTGAGTTATACTATATGTAAGGAATAATATCACGAATCTGAATCGCAATATTTGAAGCTGTTAACCAAATTATCCAGTTAACTAGAAATTTCTCTAATATGGAATGGATTTTAATTCTTTCAAGTATACATAAATATAATTTCCATTTCATGTAAAATCGATATTTAATTGATAAGAAGAAATTTAGAATCTGACTGACGATTTAATTCGTCCTCCCCAATTAACAGACTGATTAATAGCTCTGGAATCTTTGCTTTCAGATATTGGCTCGATCGTGGAGACTTCAAGATGACTCTCCGCTACATGAACCTCCTGAAAGGAGCGTCAAGATCCATCGCCAGAGACTGGATGAACGAAACTAGGATCCTTCTGGAGACTCAGCAAGCGGTGGACACGCTATTGGCGTATGCTGGTGCTATAGGTCTAGTATTCCTCGGCGCTGGAGATTCGAAGGTCAGTCGAAACGATTAGAATAAAACAAAAACAACAAAAGAGAATCACGTATAATAGAGAACGAGAGACATCTTGTCTAGGGCAAATTTTTGTATAGTTTCAACTAGAATTCTGTCAAAGTATCGCGAAAATGTATTCAGTTTTCTCGGTGAAATTCCGCTTTCAACGGATTTCACATAAAAAGAAGAAAAAAAGAAAAAAGAAAAAGAGAAAAGAAAAAAAGAAAAATGCCAAATTCAAATTCGAGGTGACAGTCCGACCAATGTATTTTTAATTGTTTATAAATGATTGGAAGATACTACTTAAATATACTGGGATTGTTTAACAGAATTCTCCAACTGTGTTATTTATAATTTTCGGTTGCATCTTCTGTTTTTTCGATCGTCTCATACTTTCGATATTTTTCGATTTTTTCGATTGGATTAAATAGAGAAAAGAGAGATTCGTATCGGAAGCTTTGATACTTTGTTAAATAATTTTGTGGATCGAGCATAGCTCGAGTATGGTCTGTTCGAACTTCATGGACACGAATTTTTTGAATAGTGTATCAAAATCGTCAATAAAAATAGCCTAAATTTATCCGTCGAAGATTAATCATCGTTATTCTTCTTCCCTCCTCTCATAATTTACTTAATAAACTTGTTTTTTTTTTTCTTTCAACATCCTTTATCTTTGAGTATTTGTATTTGAGAGAAACTTTAGCATGAAATTAAAGCACAAGATACACGCATATACCTATTAACCCCTTGTCTTATACCTAGACTCTGGATGATTATGTATTTATAGGAAACGTGGAACAAATGTATACAACGTATGAGAATTGCGTAAGAATGTATTATATAAAATCCAAAGTTAGAACTCTTCAACTAAAATGACAGTATTTAATGAACGAAACAAAACATCACTTAGATTCTATTCCTTTAATGATTTTTTAAATAATTCACTATGATACGAACGAAAAAGATATTGCATACACGTCCACAGATTGCTTATAAGTGTTGAAACTATTATATAACGGTTATATATTATAGACGGAAAAAAGTTATAATTTCAATTCAACAAAGATATAATGTAATGTCGTGTTCGTTAGAGTAACTTTCAACTCGAATCTCAGCTTCTAGTTTTTAAATTATAAATAATATTTCAATATTTTCATACAATTTGGTATAATATCCTCTTATTACAACAGTGAACGGCTAAAATTTTCGTAAGTACGTATGTACGTATGTACGAAAAAGGTTATAAGGCAAAGGATTAAATAAAAGGGCTCTTTCATACTTTCCTTCAACTTGGGAAACTTGTTTAACGATAGAAAAACACGATTGGCTGAACCAAGCGAGCCGAAACAGGGTAGAACGTAGCAGTGTTGATCGTTCCAGTGGTGTGTTACACGAACGTTTGATTTACAATACTGTTCAATAAATACATCTATAATAATACTATTACTAATAGATTGTTAAATAAACAAAAAGACGAAAAACTCGAGATACGAAGAAAGGTGTTTGTATGGAGGGTTGAGAATCCTATAGTGATTTAAGCTCACCCAGTTTCGTTCGATCATACTTTTAACAGCTGAGATACCTTCTCAAAATCTCGACATGGATACATCGTTATGATTTTCAGCCCAACATACGTATATATATAACACGAAAGACAAAACACAAATTCACCTCTGGAAAGGTTGACCGCCCTCTTCTTGCTGCGTTAACAGTATGATTCACGATTTTTTGCTTGCAGTAAAAAGAAAGAGCAAAGGGCTGGCAAAATCGACAGAAATCGAAACGACTTCCGCGGGCCAGAATGCCCTCGTCCCTTCTTGAATTCTCGCGTCAAACCGCCGATACCGAAATCGACCACAAACGAACAGTGAGAGATCTAAAACAAACCAAAATTGAAAAAAAACCATTTCAAAGAAACAAACGATCGACAGCTTCATGAAATCGAAACAAAAAAAAAAAAGAAGAAAGAAAGAAAAAACAAAACTAAAAATGCGATACAAAAGACAAAAATAAGAAAAATATGAAAAAAAATAAAAACAGGGGAAACGTCGACACTGGAGAACGTTCCTTTCGTTGTTGTTCGAAGTGTTCCAGCAAGCCTCACCTGGAAAAAGCCGTGGACCGACGAAGGGGGAGAATGCTCGCGTGGAAACGCCGTCAAAGAAGAAGAAGAATTCTCGCGCGGGAACGTCGTCAAAGAAGGCTGAGGACACGTGGATGGACGTACAACAGCGTTCAGACTGCTATCGATCGTATTCTCGGATGGAAATTGTGGGAAGGTGGGAAAAAGATATCTGGGATTTCTGCGAATGCGAAACGAGCGAAATTTCAGGTTTCTTTGCAGTTAGACTCAAGCTGGAACGAGAAAACGATCCTTCTGCTGCAGAGAGATTCGTAGAATATTACTATTACGATTACAATTTAACGAATTTTTAAAATCTGTATTTCCCGCAAGAACCTTTTCACCGAACTTTTTGGATAAAAAATTACCTTTTGCCACAATGGTGTATGGTGCCGCGATGTACGGATATTTAATCAATAAGATCATACGATATTTTCACGAATGAGAAACGAAAAGCATGACATTTTTTCCGAATACATTCTGTATTTTCTTTGGCTATAAAGTACTGTGTAACGATTAAGAGAAATATTATTATTATTATTGTTGTTATTATTATTATTATTGTTGTTATTATCATTATCATTACTATCACTATCGCTATCATTATTATTGTTGTGATATACATATGATCTGTTTAATAATAATGTACGATTGATATCAAAGTGTTCAACAGAAATAGGGATAAGACAATTAGAGTGTAGCAGAAGATGCGTGTTTCCAACATTTCGAACGAACAAACGGAAGTGTTAAGTCGAGGATACGTTGCTGTTTCCTGTGAAACGTTTCTAAAAAATAAAAAAGAGGAAAAAAGAAATAAGAAATAAATAAAAATAAATAAATAAATAAAGCATAAAATGGAAGAAACAAGAAGAAATGTTAAAAAATTTTAGGAAGAGGGTTATCTGTCTTAACGTAGAGAAATATGAAATCTGCACGGTGGAAGGTTATCTGCAGGATTAAAATGTTTTATTTCGCATTTCCGATGGTTAATCCCGGATTTATCACATACATACCCACCATCTGGGGCACCGCTCGTTTCAGACAAACAACCAGAGGACTTTGAAAAAGTTGGCGAGTTCGTGCCGCAGCGACAAAATGTGATCAAAATCTGCTCGTTTCAGACAACATTGTAGACGTTTCGCGACGATCGATGTGCGAAAATCTTAAACAAGCGAAAATAGACTTTTTAAGTTGTAAAAGGAAGAACGTTAGGTAGTGTGCAAAATATTTAGGTATTCGAAATTTGTTCATCTTATTAGCGTTTAAATTGTATATGGTAATTACATTATTTATAAATATTTTGTTTGTTTATTCAATTTTTCTTTTATTTCTTTTGATAAGAAAGAAACACGAAAAATGTATCGGTATTATTTTTCTCAAAAGAAATTAATTAATGACAATTTCAGCCAAAAAAGAATTGATTTTTACATCTATTAAATATGAAAATCATTTAATTTAATAATATGGCGTTTGATATGATGTGCGATAGTAGTCGTGGTGATAGTACTACTGCTGGTGTATGATACATGTCGCTGCTGGGGTACTGCTGCTTTCTTCTCATTAAGGTGTCGTGGAAGAAAAATCGGACTATGGGCGCCGACATTTGAACCCAGGATCCGAACGTTTGTAAACCAAAGACGCTAACTACTGCGCTGCCGTCGTCCGGTCATAGTTGTTGTCGAGTGCCGCCACAAATATTTTTTTTAAATATTGTAAAGTGCCATTTCGCGGAAGATTTCGCGCAAACTTTAATTATTTCATCATATCTTGTAAGAATAGCTGCTGAAAAATTCTAATTTAATCTACGAACATCGTCACAGGAAGTAGCTACGAATGTTTCAAGTCCACAAACTCTGCAATAGTGTTACGTTCTCCTTGTAACCATCCGTTCTATACAATTCAAAATACTAATTTGTCATCCTTTTGGTTCGATATAATTGAAAACAAAAATTCAAGCTTTACCAGCACCATCTTTGGACGGTTTCAAATCTATAATATCCCATAACAACGTCTATGCCGTCTGAACGAATTGCTGCTGTTATATCTTAACTTTAAATCAAATAATAGAATAGATGTCGGAAAAAACGAAAATGCAATACTCGGAATAATCCTCGAACATGAAAGAACTTTAAACCAGATGACTACCCCTTTTGAAACGAGTCACTAACGAGGCTTGCCGATGAGGTAGGTTTTTCCTACTTCTCTCTCTCTCTCTCTCTCTCTCTCGCCCATTTCTTCCTTTTCTTTCATTTGTCTGTTTTTAGTAGAGTTTGAGAGAGCTCATTTACCACGTGTCATGCTTCAGAATGGAAAACTGAAGAGAAAATGTTGCTTCTTCTGTGCTTCTCCTTTACTTGCTGATGATGAAGCGTTTAGGTTAGTCGAATAGTTAAATAGGCGCACAGTTACTTAAATAAAGCTCCTTCCTACTTAGAATTGGCAAAGCAGAATGAGAGTAACTCACAGAATTTGACGATAACGAAGTCTATCGGCGGCAGAGGGTGAAATACCTCTGGTACGTCTTGAGTGGTGAGTCAGGATCGAACGAAAAAACGAGACGAGCGGGAGTAAATCACGTATTGTAAGTGGCATGTACACTTTTGTAAAGAAAGTTTAATTGCTTCAATGCGATTATCAAGCCGAGAGATTCGAGCAATAAATGGTATTCGACACTGATTACTGTGTTCTGTAATTGTAAGTAGAACTTTGTAGAAACTGTACCTGCAACGCCCTGTTTTCCTATTAGTTTTAATTTTCAATCAAGTCTAGAGGCTAGTTTCAGTTTGTTAGTTTAACAATCAGTTCGTTTATGATTATCAAGTTTATATGACAAATTGCGATACGAATGAAGGATACAGATGTATAAAATAAATACAGATTCTACGTACGTAAGTTGGAATTGAAACTATGTACCTTTAATGCCAGTTTTCAGATTTAAATATGAAATAACAAACATAACATTCTTATCCGTTGATGTTGACGTTGACGGTGACGTTGACGTTGACGTTGACGTTGACGTTGACGTTGATTAAGAAGGGAATCGAAAATAAAGATTAAATCTCAAGCTTATAAAATTCAATTGAAATTTCAAATCTTTAAGATAAATAATCCTGGAGCTCGAATAATTCAAATTCAATTCAAATTACAAATTCAATTCAAATTACAAATATACAAAATCTAACCCAAATTTCAAAATTATGAAATTCAGATGAAAAGATCTAGGATATTCTGCAGTGTCTGCAGCAAGCATAAATACATGATGGAGATTAAGCAAATATCATATTTGCAGTAAAAGCTTCTAGTTTGTGATGTATAACCGTGATTCACCTAATGTACCTAATCGCTACTTGCCAAGTCCAAGATGAACAGATAACATTGCGGTTGGCTTTTGAGGTTGTTTTGCCTATCTATTTACGTTACCACGCACTTAAACTTTCTCGGTATCATAAGCTGGCTTCTTCTAATATAACATACATAGTAGGTATCTAATATCTGATATATTGGATTGAGGTGTAGATGTTGTCCGTGATAATTGTAGCGCTGACTGTAGATGTCGCTGCTGCTGGGGTACTACTGCTTTTTCTTTTCATTTATAGGCGTGGAAGAAAAATCCGGTCACCGGGATTCGAACCCGGGTTGCTGCTAAGTGCCGCCACAGAATTTTGAATTGTTTTTTTTTTTTTTTTTTGGTAGACTATTTACAATTAATTCTCGTAGAGAATTTTAAGTAACTTCATTTGGTGTGGTACAATAGCTTGGTTTATAATAATTTATATTATGTTGATTCTAGTTGAATTTAATGCTTCAATCTAAAGTATTTTCTTTTTAGTCTGCGGATCTGGTCCGTCGTGTCAAGTAGTTGGGTTGTAATGGGTAGTAATGGGTTGTGATGGTTGTTGACTCTTGTGTTATATCTGCCTTTGAACTTGTATATTTCTTCTTTGACTGTGGGTATCTTGAGGTCGCGTTGGATTATTTCGTTGGTGACATACCAAGGTGCATCCATTAAGGATCTTAGTGTTTTTGATTGAATTCGTTGAAGGATTTCTATGTTGGAGTTAGTCGTTGTTTCCCATAGTTGAATCCCATAGACCCAGACAGGTTTTAGTATGGTTTTATATAGCATTATTTTGCTCTGAATGCTTAAGTTGGAGCGCCGGCCTATGAGCCAATAAAATTTTTTAAGTTTAGCCTTGAGTCGCTTCGATTTGTCTATGATGTGTCGTTTCCATGTCAATCTCCTGTCCAGAGTCATGCCCAAATATCTGACTGAATCCTTGTTAGGAATTGTGATATTGTTAATGGTCACCTGAGAGCAGGTTTGTTTTCGCAGCGTGAAGGTTACCTGTGTGGATTTCTTTTCGTTAATTTTGAATCCCATTTCTGGAACCTCTTCTCTATAGAGTCAAGACCTCGCTGTGTCGTCAGCAAACGTCGCTGTTGTTATCTCTGCTAAAGTTGGTAAATCGGCAGTGTAGATGGAGAACAGTAGGGGTCCAAGTACACTGCCTTGGGGTATGCCGGCTTCTATTGGAAATGTTGTGGTTGTGGCATCTAGGTATTTGATCATAAATTGTCTATTGGTTAAGTAGAATTTTAGAATGGAGTAATATGTACACACATATGTACCACACGGTAAGATTTTCTTCAGTTTGAAGAAAAGTCCTTCATGCCATACTTTGTCGAATGCCTGTTGAATGTCTAGGAATACCGCAGAGCAGTATTTTTTCTTTTCTAGGTTTTGGTTTATCGTGGAATGTTGCTTTCAAAAACCGAATTGGTGAACTGGCAGTGTTTTCAATTTCTCTAAGAGTGGAAGGAGCCGATTCGTGGGCATCTTTTCGAATAGTTTTGACAAAGTGGGTAGAAGGCTAATTGGGCGGTAGGAGCTAGTTTCTTGTATTGGTTTTCCGGGTTTAGGGATGAGAGTTATCATTGATATTTTCCAGGGCTTCGCATAATATTCAAGACAAAGGATTGCATTGAAAATTGATGTGATGATTGAAATCCTTTTTATGGGAAGTTCCTTGATTGCTTTATTACTTATTTGGTCATGCCCCGATGCTTTCCTGGGATTTAGGCGACGGATTAATTCTGTAACGTCTAGAGAAGTGAAAGGTTTAATAGGAGGAGACATTTGGAAGGGAGAGTGCAGATATTCCGTTATTTCCGGAGCAATGTTGGAGGAATGGGGTTTTTAAATACGTTGGATAGGTGTTTAGCGAACAGATTGGCTTTTTCTTCAGGACTATGCTCATCTTTAGGACTGTGCCCATCCGCCTTGCGGACAGCGAATTGAAGGGATTATTTGCGGGGGACGCGTAAGATTCCTGGAAGCCTTCCATAGTGAGTAGTTGGAGTCAGCTGTGGGAGACAGATTAGCGAGATATTTTTGGAAACAGTAATTTTTATAGTTTTTAATGATTTTGGTTAAATTCCTAGTTGCATTATTTAGTTTGCGTCTATCGTCAGGTGTTCTATGACTCTGCCATATTCTTCTAAGTCTACGTTTTTCTGCGATTTGTTTTCAT